TTGTCACTATGATCAGTGCACTGAGACATATATCACATTCTCCCCCTGCGTGGACTCTAAAAAACTATTTTCGCAAAATATGTTGGTGTTCTGAGCCATTTCCAACATCCCTCCTCTACATTTATGTTCCAACCTTTGTTTCAGTTCCTAACTTCCTATTACAACCTAGTTTTTGCAGGGCTGATCGTTTCATCTTATATAAGAAAAAACTAATTTAGATTGATCACCTCTTGAATCTCCAAATTGTATGTGAACCTAGTTCTAAGACAACCAATCTTCTTATAATGCAGCTTGGCTCTCCTGCATTCATGTCTTAACTAAGAATCATTTGAGTTGCTAAACTGAGCTAGATGTGTCTGCTTGACCGAATAAGTGTCTCTTGCAACCATCTGACATACTTATGTTCAAGATAGAATTTTCTATATCGGCACACAAAACCTTGCTTTCCATCAAGAAATTTATTATTCCTTTCTATATGCAGTATCTGATTCTGAACATCCAAAAACATCACACCTATACCTTGTGATATGCAGTGAAATTAAACTGACTGTTTTTTTTTTTTTTTTAAGACTCGTTAAATTTCTCAGATTTTCTACAAAAAATATCTGTTTCAACAGATACTGTGTCATGTTCTGGAAAAATAACAAACTATGTAAATAACTTTGCACCAGAATCTTGGCATCGACTGAAGATGCTTTAATAAGTTATATAAACTAAACAGCATTAAATAATCATATAATAATGTTTTAAATCATATAACTTATTTAATGTGTGTTATAAAAAAAAAACTAAAAGTTGTATTCTAATAATCTTTACATAATTATTTTCTTTTATAAAAAAAATTTACATACATAACTAATTGTTTTTCGTTTACTATATTTATGCTCGCTTAAATCACTGGATGCTTTTACTTATGGTTTATGTTACCAAAATGATTCATCCACATGACCAAAAAGATGGTCCACATGATATAATAATCCATCCAAATATAGAAAATATTAACAATCTTGTAATAGTGACTTTAGAGTTGGTCTAACAAGCTTTTCTGTCTTTTTCTGTTCATTATTAGTTAGAAATCATTTATATATCTCAAAAGACCTCATGGAGAAGTCATCAATGGCGACCGTACTGATGATCAGATCAATCGCCAGGTAAAATTAAGATTATGTTCTCAATCACTAACTTACTAGCTTGTTTGATTCATCAGCTTATATGTGTATGTTCTTTTTTGATTAAGAAAGGTTTAAAATCAGCTTAATTTTAGTTCTCTTCATATATTTCTTTTGCCAGAACCTTTAAACGGAAAGCCTCAGCCCCGGCCTCAGCCGCTTACTCTACAGGCGGTTGTACTTGTACGAGGCAAGTTCCTTTCCCTGTCTCTAGCTTCTGAATTCGTACGGATCAGATCAATCTCATAGTGTGTATATATGATTACATTTTAAAAATTGATAAAAATCTTACTCAATGAGTCTTGCTTAATTGATATTTGATAGTAATTGCAAAAATTGTCTTGAAAAGTCAGTCACTTAATTCGATACTATGTTTTTTTGATAGCGATTATGCGTTTTTTGTTTGACTCTATACACAAGTACAAATCACTATCATAAGAATATATCTACCCATCATAATATTCGTACCTATTTTAATTATTTTGTAACATATTTTAATTATTTTGCAACATTTAATATTATGTAGCAAGAAGCTAGAAGGTAAAGTAGCTTTCATAACCGGCGGTGCAAGCGGGCTCGGTAAAGCCACAGCCGGAGAATTTCTCCGGCAAGGTGCTCGAGTAGTGATCGCCGATTTAGATGCGGAAAGCGGAATTAAAGCCGCTAAAGAGCTAGGCTCGGCGGCAGAGTTTGTGCGGTGTGACGTCACGGTTGAGGCAGAGGTCGCTGGAGCCGTGGAAATGACGGTAGCAAAGCATGGGAAGCTAGACGTGATGTATAACAATGTTGGGATCGTGGGGCCCATGACTCCCCCAAGCATATCGGAGCTTGATATGACGGAGTTCGAGAGAGTGATGAGGATTAATGTCTTAAGCATTGTATCCGGCGTTAAGCACGCCGCTAAGGTTATGATTCCGGCCGGGTCGGGATGTATATTGTGCACGTCAAGCGTGGCAGGTATTAGCACTAATCAAAGGTTTTGTTTAGTTAGAAATATCGTACACTAGATATATGAATTGTAGAGTTTTAGATGGTTGTATCGTAAAACTAACATTTGATTTGATAATAACGGAGTATTGAGCTTATACACACACTAAAAGCTTGTTACACGAAAATTATTGTAAACATAATTAATTATTTGACTGGTATCATATTTGTTTTTTACAATCCATAAACCAACAATTTTAAGTTTAGATTCGGATTATGATACAACCAAATATCACTTGTATAAACTAGAACATTACAAATCTATGTTGGTTCTTAGTTATTGTAAGTTATGAAAGGAGAATTGCTTGAATCTCTATCTATGTGTTTATTCATTTCATGATTTTAATTGATATATAGGATTCAAGATAGCTTGAATCTTAAATTAAAGCTCAACTTTTGATTATTTACTCTAAATTTTTGGTCAACACTCAGGTTTGACTTTTTATTATCTGATCAAACAATGCAGGAGTGATCGGAGGGTTGGCTCCACACTCATACACAATCTCAAAGTTCACAATCCCCGGAATCGTGAAATCGGTGGCTAGCGAGCTCTGCGAACACGGCGTGCGTATCAACTGTATCTCACCGGGCACGGTGGCGACGCCGCTCACTCTCCGTTACCTTCAGAAAGTGTTTCCAAAGGTGACGGAGGAGAAGCTCCGTGAGACGGTAAAAGGAATGGGTGAGTTGAAAGGAGCCGAGTGCGAAGAAGCTGACGTGGCGAAGGCTGCTCTGTATCTGGCCTCCGATGACGGAAAATACGTTACCGGCCATAATTTGGTCGTTGACGGTGGCATGACTGCTTTCAAAATTGCTGGTTTTCCTTTTCCTTCTGATCCATGATAAATGATACGCAACTATGAATCGTATTCAAGTTTTGGGTTCAATCTTTGTATGAATTAAATAAAGCCAATGCAAAGACAATGGTTCGTTTTAATTAAAGCGTATGAGCTATAAAACGAAAAACCGAAATGAACTCTAATTTATGTGATTCGGTTTGATATGAATTACGGGTTCGGTTTGATTCCATTTCTCGCATAAACATGTACAAATAAATATGTTTCAGTTTTTTGCCGAAGATTTTATGTTATGTTCTCTTTTCAATCAAGTTCAATTTCTATTATGGGTTGGTCAGTTACAAATATTCAGTGTAACTGATGAATCGAAATGGAACCACAATGAAAACTGAGTAGATAACATAGTTTTTTTAAGTAATATTTAATATGGAAAAATGAATCGATAAGTTCCTAACAAATCTGAATAAAATATGATTCAAAAAACTGCTTATCTAGTTAAAAATGTTATAAGATTGGTAATCTGACAATAAAGTTGTTATAAAATTATAAATCTTTTTAATACAAATTAGACTACGATAATGGATTAGTTTTTGGATTCTTTCCTTTTGCTTTTTTTTTTTATCAAGTACATGGTGTCAAATGTTGACAACGCTTTGTAAATTGATCAACTTTATGGAACCAGAATGATCTACTATAAGATTGCTAGGACTAAGTCTTTACACCATAAACATGCAAAGGTTATGATTCCGGCCGGGTCGGGATGTATTTTGTGCACTTAAAGATTTGGTTTAGCTAGAAATATCATCGTACATATGTTCTTTTTTTGTCTTGCTTTTCATATTTACCAAATATCAAATAGAAGACTTATAGGTAATTCGTATAATGGTAAAGTCAACACTCAGTGGTTACATTTAGTATCTGATCAAACAATGCAGGAGTGATCGGAGGGTTAGCTCCACATTCATATACAGTCTCCAAATTTACAATCCACGGAATTGTAAAATCCGTGGCGAGCGAGCTCTGCAAACATGGCGTGCGTATAAGTTGTATCTTACCGAGTGGGGTGGCAACACCGGTGGCTCTCCGTTAAATTCAGAAAGCGTTTCCGACGGTGACGGAGGAGACGCTCCCCAGACGTTAAAAGGGATGGGTGAGTTGAAAGGAGCCGAGTGTGAAGACGCTGACATGGCGAAGCCTGCTCTGTATTTGGCCTCTGACGACGAAAAATATGTTACTGGCCATAACTTGGTCGTTGACGATGGCATGAGTGCTTTCAAAATTGCTAGTTTTGACAGAGATATTTCTAGAGCATCATAATATGAGCTGTTGGAACAATAAGACATCTGTTTCAACACGCAGAACTAAGTGAGTTTGGGCTCTTATTGAATTAGAAAGCCCAAATTATGAGAGAGGCCCACATAACAATAAAAGTGATGGTTTGGTAGTATAAAAGACAAGAGGTGTTGACAAAAAAAGTTATGTACATGGGTTTAATTGTGAGAGGCCCACATGTGTGTGGCGTTGTCCCACCATACTGGTGATGGTTGTCTATGAAGATTGCAGCCGTTGAAAAGATGGTGATGCACCGGTGCTGCTGGTTGGTAGTCAAGCATGCGTGTTTGATACTTGTCTTTATAGTTTGTCCATGTAGAAAAGAGTGGTCTATGCCATTTAGCAATTGTAGGTTACGACATTTTCTAAGGGATTGATTTTGAACTAGGTCCCAGAAATGTAGGACCGAACCTAGTGAAAAAAACTCTGAGTGTTTCATTATTTTATACTCATACACACGAGCCACAAGCCGCTTTTTCAAGTTTTCCTTTTCCTTCTGTACGTAACTACTTCAGTATTGATTAGTGATTTGTAGGCCAAAACAATGAGAATTGTTCGTGTTAGGCCTATGAGCTATACCAAATTCTAGTTTCGGTTTAGATTTAATTTCTTACCTAAACAATACCCTGATATATATAAATTAAAAAAAAAAAGTTCAGTTTTTTCATCTCAACTTTTAATATGTTCTCTTGATCGATTTTGATTATGGGTTGTTGATTAGAAACTGAAATTTTCTAGCCAAATCAAATTTTCTACTTTCAACTTTGAATTTCAAATTTGTCTTTATATCAGTGTTTTGAAAACCGGACCGGACTGGCCGGTCGAACCGGTTCAACCGGGAATCGTTTATAAAACCGAGTTCGAGTTGAGCTAAAAACCGGACTAGAGTTAAACCGTTAAAATCGGCTGAAAACCGGTGACCCGGTTTGATATAAGAACCCGGTTTAACATATTTTAACCAAAAATTGACGTTTTTTTAAAAAAAAGTTAGGGTTTTAGAGTTAATAATTAAATAAAATTTCATTGCGCTAAATTGAAAGATAGTTGTCTCTTTGATAATTTCCCAAAAAGAACTCTCATTTATTTTTGATTGCAATTTTCAATTATGTGGAAAACCAAAGGTCTTCCAAATCATCTTTTTACATAGGTAAACGATTTTCAAATTTTTAAAAAAGATAACTGCTTTTTTTTTTGAAGATTACATTATTATGTTTGTTACTCATTTTCCAACTCTAAACTGAGATTTGAAACCATTTCGTTCAATTTTGTATTATCTATTTTTTTCATTTTCATATAAGCATATTTTATTTAATTAAAAATAAAAAAATTATAAAACCTGATCCGACCATCTAACCAGTGACTACGCCAAGTAGGTGTCCGATCCGGTTTTCAAAACATTGTTTTTTGTTTTCTTCTGTTACGCCAAATTTTAGGCTCAAATTCGTATACCTAGAATTATGAATGTATAATTCAGATAAATTTACGGATGTGTTCCATTAAAAAATAGGACCCAAAAGCTAAGCTAGTCAAAGTTGTTACATTTTAAACAAGACCAAAAGGCTAAGTCGAGAAGAAAATAACAAAAATGAATTATAACTTACATTAAACCTTAATATTTCCGAATTAAATTCGAATTTGAACACCATATTGATTAAAACAAAAGTCTCTACAGTAAAACACCAATCCATCCCCCAAACTGGAACCGTAATTGTCTACCCAGTTAAAGTGGTCCGTCCCATAGAAGTAAATGGAGGATTTACTTTCGTTGCTAGATCTGAAAATGGAGTCATGTGATGTGATCGATTCAAACCACAAAAAAATCATTGTCAAACAGAAGTAATCACAACATATATACATGATTCATATCGATACACATATGGTTGTATCACAATAAGACTCACAAGTCCATTAATATCCCATTATTCGTTCACATGTTTACGTAACTAGAGCTAGCCTTGAGTAAAAGCTAATCAAGCATTGGCTTGGGGTCTCTTATGAATCTATAAATGGTTAAGTTGGTAATGTAATGTTTTCTGCTTGAGGAGGTTGGCTGTTCAAATCCTCACACAAGGAAAATGTTTTTTAAAGCTATTTTGCATCAATAAATAATTAGTAAGCCAAATTTTTTTGGTTTGGAGCCATCAAATTCTAAGGACCCGTTCTGTACTAGAACAAAACAAATTGTTTCTGTTTAATTTGTGAAATAAAAATTATACCGAACGAGCGAGTCTCAGGTTAACATAAGAAAAACCTCAAATTACGTAATCGAAAGTTAAGGAGGTAAATAGCTTAAATTAGACATGTTTCAATGTATAAATGCATCCAACTTTTTTCTATAAATAAGTACATCTTCTAATATCTTTTGAATTTTAATACAAGTACCATCAATTTAATTATTTCAATTATCTAGGATGAAGAAATTATTTCAGCTTTCGTTCACCATTCTAGTTATATTTTTCGTTCTTGTGCTAGGTTAGTATATGCTTTTAGAATTACTCTAGTATATTATTATTCTTTTTAAAATATTTTGAATAAAAATAATATTTGTTCCTAAAGTACGATTTTACTAATTTATATAATTTGTGTAAACTCTATACTAGCTATACTTAGAAAATTGAGTTACAAATGTTTTCTGCTAGATGTAGGAAATTGATCCCCAAAGATAGTTTAAGACTTTCTTTACCTATTATGGTTAAGTCCTTTGTGTATAAAAAATATATGGTTGTGAAATATTATTCAAAATTATTGTGTTATAAATTGATTCAACATTTTTCTATTGTTATTTTTTTCGTTTCGTACAAGGTAAATAAAAAATGTGGTAAACTATAGCTTTTAATTTCGTTGATATTTGTTGTTATGTAGTTTTTATGTTAATTCATAAGATACTAAATTACACCTGTGTAACTTTTTGGGTTAAAATGTGATGCTTTTGCTTAA